ATACCAATTGTTGACCCAATGTACTCCAAGAGGGGGGGTGAATTGGAGTTCCAAAAATTCTCCCCTTTTTGCAACCACAAAACCAAAATTAAAGAGAGTAAAAAAGAAGAGCTTGCTCAATGATTTATAGAGGTTTAGTCCAACCACTTAGAGCCTAGTTCTCTACCTTGGCTTCACTCACCAAGGATTTCCTCCACACTCTTCACTAACAACAACAAGGGTGGCTTCAAGAAGCCACTCAATCCTTTTATAAGAATAAGGGTGTTTCTCTCAAATCTCATCTCTTTACAAGATAAACCCCAAAGATCCTCTCTACAGATCACTCTTAAAGGAATCAACACACTCCCAAGATCACTCACTAATAGCACAAGAAGAGGATTACAAGCAATGATCACTCAAAGATAAAAAACTCAAGCTTAAGCTCAAGTAGGTAGGTAAAGATATGCAATGTTATGTAATCCAAACTTCTTCAGATCCATATTTATAGCCCCTTGCTCGAAAATAGCCGTTTCTAGCCGTTGGGGGTCATTAAATGCTCTGCAAGACGCAAAGCTCGAGCTGCAGGTTTGTCAGGAAAACCGGCTTAGCTTTCTAGAGCCGTCTCTACAGAGCCGGCTTACACTTCCAAAGCCGGCTATCCAGGTTTGCAGGCCATTCTGTTTTCCTCGAGAGCCGGTTGCAAGACTTTAAGCCGGCTTTGGAATTCCGATTTTAAATACATTCAAAAGAGTCTATTGTTGTGCATTAAATGCACCCTGACAGCCGGCTATAAAGTTGGAGCCGGCTTTGCATCTTTTCTCCGCGCGCGCCAAAAAACGGTCTTCAAATTTTTCCCTATAGAGCCTGCTGTAGCTTTTAAGAGCCGGCTTTCTGCACATTTTGAATCCTTTTGGTCTATTTTTAGTGCAATCCAAGTTTACTTGCAATCTTTTAGCAACTTAACTACACACTTAAATAAACCAATTAGTCACTCAAATGTGTTTTGTAATCATGAAAATCATAGGTACAACAAAGTCAAGATCAACGAACCCTTACAAGCTCAAGCTAAAGTTGTTAGAATTGATTGGTCTCCATGCTTATACACCAATCACACTTACTCCTATCTCAATATGGGATTCAAGGTATTACACTAGGATACTAAGAGTTGATAAGAAGCCTTAATGGTGAACTCTACCAACACTAATGTTAAAGGATGTTTTGGCAACTCAAGTGTTAGTGTAGAATTCACCCAATCTTCCTTTCAGTGAAAGAACTCATTTCCCATGTCCATGCAACATGAATCACACATAAAATAACAAGAAAACAAGATGAAAACTCTATTTTTCATCTCTTTCATGAACAATCTTCCATTTCCTTACCATTATAGTTTGATAATATCCTTACAATGAAAAGAGAAGATTACAATAGAGTGGTGAGAAAAGAAGATGTTGATCTTGAAATGCCATTGCGGATCTTTTTGAACTAAGGGATCTATAACTAGTCGAGCTTGTATATATCCATGAAAGAGAATTAGAAAGTTTCCTCTTTTGGCAATCTTGAGAGAAGAGCTTTCCATGGGATTTTTAGCTTTCATGAGCATTTTCTCAAAGTTTTGAGATGTTTTTTTAGTGAGAGAATAGTAGAGTTTACTGGAAATCTATTGTTTGTTTTGATTTTGTAATGGATTTAGTTAATTAGGTTTGATTTTGATAAAACAAATAAGGATAGAATGAGGGGAAGAAAGGAAAACAAGGAATTTTTTATTTAACTAAATTTAGATGAATAACATATGACAGCTAACTCAAATTCATCTTAAAATTTTCTTCCTATAAAATAACTCCTTTACTACCATTGTTGAATTGAAGAAGTCAAGAATATTTAAGAAACAAATCAGTTATGAGTGGAAGAAGGCAATGGAATAGGAGTAGTTTGCGTTCATTTGATATAACACTTAAACACTAGTACCTTGTCTAGCACATGCTAAAGTTGTAGGTTGCAGGTGTTTGCATAATTAAATAACAAGTAGATGGTGTTGAATGGTTTAAAGCAAGACTTGTTTCCCAATGATATACACAACAACTAGGTATTAACTATCACGACACATTTAACTCCATTGTGAAGCTTGTTGCCGTTTGCAGTATGCCTGATGTTGCAATTTTATGCTCTTGGTCTGTTCATCAACTTGACATTAAGAATGCTTCCAAATGGTAACTTTTTTGAAACTATGTATATTGCTTAACCTCTTGAATTTATGTATAAGTAACATCTTAATTAAGTTTGTATCTTACAATAGGCTTTTTTAATAGGCTTATCATGCTTGGTTTTAGAATTTTGCTTCTTTTCTTCTCCTTTGTGGTTTTACATAGGTAAAATCTGTTTGGTCCATGTTTGTGTATCATTCGCATGGTATGATGGTTATTATTCTTCTTTATGTGGATGATATCATAGTTATAGAATTCTATAAACTTTTTTTTAATATAAATATCATTACTTTTTTGTTAAAAATTGAATTTCTAATGACTAATTTGGGTATACTAAACTATTTATTGGGAATAAGTGTTCGGTTTAACTTAAATGGTTTATTTCTTTTTTAGTCTATCATTGATTAGCTTGAGAAGAGTGGTTTGACAAAAAGTTAGTCAGTCGCTACCACAATGGCTCTAAAAACTAAGCTAGTTTTTTTCTTTTTTTAAACAAGGACAATTATAGGGGGAAAGAAGAAATGGGCCAGCCCATGGGCTAGAGAAGCACCAATGGCTCGTGGCTCAAGTGCAAATATTCAAGTAGTTGGTGGGACTCAAACTCTCGACCAACTTTACCCAAGTACTAAGACTTGGGGACAAACCATTAGATCCCGAAGGGTCGGTTCAAAAAACTAAGATAGTTGTTAATAATAGTGTTTTATATTCTAATCCATATCAATATTGTAACATTGTTAATGTAGTTTAGTATCTAACTTTTGCTAGATTGTATATTTCTTTTATGATAAATCAAGTTTGTTAGTATATGTAGGCACTTATTACTAATCATTTTTTGACAATGAAACATATTTTGAGATATTTGAAAGGCACATTGAATTATAATTTACTAGTATTTTTCAATTCATCCATCTCTTTACTAATTTGATTGGGCAAGATATTTAGAAACTCATTGATTTATATCAAGCTATTGTTTGTTTCTTAGAAATTATTTTATATCCTAGTCTTCTAAGAAATAACTTCTTAATATACTAAGAATCAATATATATTGACTTAATCTAGTGCGAAGATTGAGTATTGAGAAATTGCTAATGCAAGTGTAGACGTGCTTTGAGTTTGGTAGTCACTTTAGAAACTACATGTGTTTCTCTCTTCAGCATCTATGATATACTATTATAATAATCTAAGAGTTATTATTTATCTATTAATCCTATTTAGCATTAGCAGGCTAAGTACTTTAATATTAGTATTTACTTTGTTTGGGAGAAAGTTGCATGTAGAACTATTAGTATGTTCCTTCTTTTAATCAGTATAAATATTATGATTAAAGCTTTTTCAGCACCATAGTTAAAGAGTCAAATAACCAATTTGTGCATTTTGTGCCATATTGCGGAAATTGTAGGGATGATAATATGTAATACCATATGAAGTTATTAGTTCATGTACAATTGTACATAAGCTTACTAGATTTTTCATATTGTACCAATGTATATATACATATATAGAGAATAACAACAATATATAATACATTATTTTATCATATATGCCTTAACTCTTGTGGGGGAATGATGCTAAGATTTTGTTCATGGAATTGCCTTACACAATTCTCTTTACATTTTCTTTGCTTGGGTTGCATGTAGCGAAATTGGAGAACATTAC